GAGGCTCGTGGTCTGCATACAAGCAGAAAAGGTTGGTTTCTTCTTCTTCTTCTTGTCCATATATCTCGGTGAGACTTCTTAGCCTTACTGGAGTTGAGGAGCTGCTTTCTTCACTAGATGTCGGACCACTCCTTGCAGTTCTGTGCAATGGAGTTGTTGTGGTTGTTTGAGCAGGTTGTTGCTCAACAGGTGGTACAACTTCTGGTTCTTCAAAATCAGTGGAAACGATTTTCTCTTTACTGACTTCTTTGTTGTTCCACTTCCATGTCTCTTCCTCACTGAAGATGACATCTCTATTAACCACTAATTTGCCAGTTAGTGGGTTGTAGAGCTTGCATGCCTTGGACTCTTCACTATATCCCACAAACACACACTTTTCACCTCGATCATCGAGCTTTCTCCTCTTGGCTTCTGGAACCTGAGCATATGCAACACACCCAAAAACTCTTAGGTGTGCAACATTCGGCTTGTACCCACTCCAAGCCTCTTGTGGTGTCATCCTCTTGACACTCTTTGTTGGACATCGATTCAACAAATAAATCGAACAAGCTACAGCTTCTGCCCACAATTCTTTTGGCAAATTCTTCTCCTTAAGCATGGACCTTGTCATGTCAAGGATGGTTCGATTCTTTCTTTCGGCTATCCTATTTTGCTGTGGTGTATATGCAGCAGTCAGTTGATGCCTAATTCCTTGCTCCTTGCAGTATGCTTGGAAAGCATTGGAGGTGTACTCTCCACCTCTATTTGATCTCACAGCCACAAGCTTGTGGTTGCTTTCAGCCTCTGTGAGTGCCTTGAACTCCTTGAAGATTTTTAAGGCAGCCGACTTCTCCTTAAGAAAATAAACCCAAGTCTTCCTACTAAAATCATCAATGAAAGTAATAAATTACCTATTACCTCCATAAGACATGGGATCCAATGGACCACATATATCTGTGTGCACCAACTGCAGTGGTGCCCTTGCTCTCCATGTATCACCAACAGGGAATGATAGTCGTGCTTGCTTGCCAAGCACACAACCTTCACATACTTGGCATGTGGCTTCAATCTGGGGTAGACCACGAACCATTCCTTCATTTGACAGCAACTTTAAGCCATTGAAATGAAGATGGCCATACTGAAGATGCCATTTCCATGACCCATCTTCCATTACACCGATGTTGCAACTCCCAATCTTTGCGTTCAACTTCAACGGGAACATTCGGTTTTTTGACATTTGAACACGTGCAATAAGCTTTCTTCTTGCATTCCTGAGAGTGAGAAACATATCCTCCATATGTATAACATACCCTTTCTGGAGCAGTTGACCAATGCTCAAAATGTTGCTCTTCATACCTGGTATGTAGTAGGTATCGGAGATGTATTCTTCTTTACCATCCTTCTGGATGATTTTGATCTTTCCTTTGCCTTCAACTGGCAACTTTGAGGAGTCACCAAGACTCACAGATCCATAAGGCCCATCTTTGAGTTCGGCAAAAAACTCTTTCTTTCCACACATGTGGTTGCTTGCACCAGAGTCTAAATACCAAACATCTTGTTGGCTACTGATATCATGGTGTGCTAGTAAGACTGTAAGTTCTTCACCAGCATTTCCACTTGATTCTGCCATGTTGACATGCTCACCATTTTTATATGAACATTCATTTGCATAATGTCCATACTGCTTGCAACTGTGACACTGGATATGCGCCTTTCCTCGAGTAGATCTCCACTCCTGAGACTGACCTAGATTTTGTGCATAGCCTCGACCTCTTCCTCGGGCTCGTCCTCGGCTACGGTTGGATGAACTCTCACGACATGAGTTCTACTGCCCACGACCTTTATTTGGTTTGTCAATATTCAACTTTAACTCCAAAGCTTGCTCTAGCGTTGTGGGGCTTGCATTCTTCTGAATGCGTTGCTCGTGAACTATGAGGGATCCTAGTAGCTCATCTGCGCACATCGCCTCCAAATCCTTGGATTCCTCAATGGCAGTCACCACATGCTCAAACTTAGATGTGAGTGACCGGAGTATCTTCTCCACAACTCGTACTTCATCGAGTCTCTCGCCATTTCTCCTCATCTGATTTACTATCACAATGAGCCTTGAGTGATAGTCGGATATGCTCTCTCCTTCATTCATGTGAGCAGTTTCAAAATCTGCTCGAAGTGACTGTAATCTCACTTTCTTGACCCGATCTACTCCTTTGTAGATTGTACTGAGTGTGTCCCATACTTGCTTGCTCGTTGTTGCTTCTGCAACCTTCTCGAACGTTGAATCTTCTAATCCTTGATAAAGAAGATACAACGCCTTCTGGTCCTTCTTTCGTAAATCCTTGAGAGTGTTCCTTTGATCTGCAGTATATGTGGCTTCTTGCTCGGTAGTGGGTACAACATACCCATTACTGACAACTTCCCATAGCTCTTGTGATCCAAACAATGCTTTGAATTGGATGCACCATCTTTCATAATTTTCTTTCTTCAATGTGGGAACTTGGAGCTGCACTAAGTTGGATGCCATAACTGCTGCACCTGCCAGAATGGTATTCTGGCTCTGATACCAATTGTTGGTATTGAAAAGTTTACTAACTCAATACCAAAATATGTGGGTGATAAGTTTACAAACTCTATCACACCTCTCACTTTCATTCTCAATAAAATTGGACAAAAAATTGAGAAATGAGGGAAGCTACAAGCTTTGGCAAACAAGGCACTTTGATATTAAAAAACAGATTGCAAATACACTTCTAGAATTGAATGACAAACCAGATGGGATTATTACTAAAGCCTTACGAGAGGCTTCCTTAAATACAACACAACCTACACCTTTACACGATCAATTGACAGCACACAGACAGCAGCATATCTGCTGTCTTTAACACATGGGAACGTGAAAATGAAGAGACCAAATGTATTCCAGGTTGTCTACATTCAGCTAGCACACAGCAGCTGTCTTTCCAGCTGCAAATAACATAGATTCGACTAGCACATGGCAGCACACTGCTGTCTTCCTGCTAGCACATCACATGGCAGCACACTTGCTGTCTTTCATCACCATTCGGCTGAATAATGAAGGAGCAATGATGATTATATTTTGCTGGAAACAATCTGTAAAGAAAGGTTAGCATCACATGGACAGATCACATGACTTTTAATTTGAATTTCCAACAGGCCTTAGATTTCTTCCCACTAGGGTTTGCCATTAATATCCTGCCATGGCTATGACTGCTGAGTATCAGATATCAAAAAAGGCTAGCAAAGGTCGAAGAAAGATTGAAATCAAGAGAGTTGAAGATAAGAACAAGCGTCACGTTACCTTCTCCAAGCGCATAAGGGGCATCTTCAACAAAGCGGCCCAACTCAGCGTTTTGACGGGTGCAGAGGTAGAGGGGATCGTCGTGTCTAGCAACGGCAAAGTGTTCTGCTTCGGCAGCCCTGCTCCTCACACTATCATCAACCACTACCTTGCCGACAATAATGCCTCCTTATTGCCTGCAGATCAACCAGATCATCCTACTAATGCATCGCCTGTTATTATAATCCGTAGTAGTAATAAACAAGTAGAGGACTCGGATGGAGGCAGAGAAGATCAAGCGTGGGAATAATAATAACAATAATATTGGAGTAAGAGAGAAAGAGGAGGTTTTTGGTGGGAGAAGCAGATTGAGGCGATGACTAGTTTGGAGGAGTTGGAAGAGTACATGGCAGCCTTGCACAAGTTGAAACACAGTGTGCAGGTTCGAACTAATGAGATGCTTAGGAATGTCTGGACCAAGCCAACCGGGTGCAACTTCTCCTCCTTGATAACTATGGATAATAGACTACCTACTACGGTTGGGCAATTCTCTGCAATTCTCTTACTAGCATAGAGCATGTAAGTTTTCGGAATTCTTCAGATCTGACTCCTGGTTAGACTAGCCTATTTTTGTTTTTAGGTTGCCAAGAGCCAATAAATATATTATGAACTATTTTCAGTCTTTAATTTGATTCCCGACAGTGTCAATTTCTTATGTAGAATCGTAACGACAATATTGTTAGCAATAACGATATCCGAAAGTAAACATCCAAGAGGTTTATGAATATAGGAAAAGAGATTAGAACGAATCCCTTAAATGTGTGTGATTGAGAGGCCAAGCGCTCGTCCATGTGTTTTACTCATCGAGTTACTCACATCATATGAGATCCTAATCGTCATAATACTTTTGTCATCATAGGCCTTATTCCTAATTAGACTGTAATTAGAGTTTCTCAAGATATTCTTATTTCATAATTTGATTGTTACTAATTTGACTATATGAGTACGATGTTTGGTATGTTTCCAAAGAAAAACAGGCCGATGAACAAATTAAACTGTTGCTACAGCAGTAGACAATGCCTTTGGGAGTTGGAGGAGGAGGAGGAGGAGGAGGCGGAGGAGTTTGGGAGGTGGGGGGGGGGGGGGGGGGGGGGGGGGGGGGGGGGGTGGGGGTGAGGGTTGGGGGGTGTGGTGGTTGGATGGTGGGGGGTGGGGTGCCGCGGGTTTATTCTTTTTTTGGTCGTTCCCACTCCTCATTCCCTCGATCATATATATGTTCAAATAATCTAAATTAGTTTTTCCGATCATATATGTTCAAATAATCTAAATTAGTTTTTCCAACAAATTCTACAGTTTCTTGTACCCCGCAAATCTCAAAATATAGTTCAATATTCTCCGCAAATCTCACATTACAGTCAACGTTTCAATCACAAATATTAAAAGAAAATGAGAAATATAATCATCAATTTGAATCCCACCCGGTACATTTTGGTAGGATCCTCGTTCATTATTTGGCCCTTCAAGTTTTCAAGTTGCTGATGAACATGTATGACTCTGAAGGTGGCGCCAATATTTGCCGCAAGCATAGCAAAATTCGTATCCGCACCTATATATAAAAATGCAAAATAATACGATCACATATTCAATTTTTCATGGTAACAAGAATATTATCATATATCCTGAGAGTAATGTAATTTTTCTTGACCTTTGAAGCTAAAACAAATAGTCAGTACTTTAAACTGCCAAAGAAATAAACAAAAGTAAACCACTAGAACAGGCCAATATGTAATATATATGAAACAATCAGCAAGCAATAATTCTGAGCTAAAGAATCAATGTAAGCCATGTTTGAAGAACTGCATACAGAAAAGCATGCACTACTAAGCAAGAACAAGAACGAAATAAGTGAAAAAGAGCACTCCAAATACAATAAAATAGGTATTTGAAAACTACATTAGTCAATATGAGATCAAAGACTTTACCATAACCAAAAACATAAATTTGTAAAGAAAAACCAAATAACAAAACAGGAATTAAATATGAATGGTTTGATAACCTCATGTGACCTTGTGACAGTAAAAATGAAAAATTATATATACTTGAAAATATGATTGCAAACCTGCATGTAATGTGTAAGCAGCCCTCATTCTTTTCCACAATGAACTTGCAAGTAGGACACCTCCTCCATTTATTCTTCTTAGCAAGCTCCAACACCATGATATCATCCCTCTCTCTTTCATCCTCATTCAAATTCTGAAACTCCCAGCACTCAATTCCCGCATGCCATGCAACCTTGCACTGAGCACAGAACATTCTCCAGCAATGCGGGCACCAGGTGACAGTCACCACCTCTTCTCCATCATCCACCAACATGGCGGAGCAGTCCTTAAAAGGGCAGTAAACCTTCTGAGACCCCAGAAACATTGATTCACAAAGTATATTTTCCCACCTATCAAACACTTCCTTGGGAATAATTGACTTGCATGACTGTGGCTCCAACTCACCTTTGCACTTCACGTCAGGACACTTCACCGCTGAAATATTTTCCTGAATTTTTGTCCCAACATATCTCCCAATGCAATCACAGCAAAATGTGTGGCTGCAGCCACTGCTTCTGAACATTTCTCCGGTCGATTTTACGTCCAAGCAGATCCCGCAAAAACCTTCAGAGGATTGTCCAATTTCTTTTTCCTTCCCCTTCAACATTTTCATTACGGGTTCAACAACACCTTCCCCGATTTTCGGGGGCTGAGTAGTAATATGGGGGCTTAATGAAGCACTTGCAGAGGACATTAGAGCCTCTTGAAGCTGCAACTCTTGTGCATATTTCTCATCTGAAATGGGAAATACTTCATCATCATCATGGAGAGATGAAAAGTAGAACTCATCAACCAAAAGAAGAGTGTTATTATCAGAGCCTGATGATGATGTTCCCTCCATTACTAATTCTCCTTCAGATTCTGGCTTACGTTTCAACTCATAAACTCGTTATTTATTTGTATGCATGTAACTTGTACAAGGATTTGGATAGTCTCTCATCAGGCTCCAAGTACTTGGATAAAGGCATTAGAAAATTAATGAGTTCGGCTGTTGATTTCTTCTCGATTTCCCAAACGACTGGCACTTTGCTTCAAGCGGTAACAGTTATATTTTTGTATTCTGTGCCATGTGTGTAAAAGTAAATATGCCTTTAATTTTTTCGAAAACAATTTAATGAATAAGTTTTTCATCTATAAGAGCATTTTCAATGGAGCGATGCAAATTTGAGATATAAAAAAAAGATTGTTTTATTGGCATCCCATAATCTTATAAATACACTCCACACGGTAGAAAAAGGTATGTAGGCTAAAAAATATATTTGTTATTGATACGTGAATGTGGAAAAATGGAAGAGAATGCTTTTTTTCTCATTATCTTTCTCTACAAGATTACAAGAATATATATACATGATACAAATGTGTAGGTAGGACAAGGTAGCCGTCCTAGTGTGTAGGTAGGACAAGGTAGGACGGCTGTAGGACGACTTGACGGCTGTATGACGGCTGTAGGACGGCTAGTGTGTAGGTAGGACAAGGTAGGACGGCTGTAGGACGACTTGACGGCTGTAGGACTAGCTGTAGGACGGCTAGTGTGTAGGTAGGACAAGGTAGGACGGCTGTAGGACGGCTTGACGGCTGTAGGACGGCTAGTGAATAATATTATATACAATTACACAAGGACTCCAACCATATTCCTTATTTGTCTAACACTCCCCCTCAAGTTGGAGAGTGCATGTCAAGAACTCCCAACTTGCGTAACATACCCGAAAACTTTTCTTTCCCAAGAGGTTTGGTAAACAAGTCTGCCAACTGTTGTGCCGTACCCACATGCTTGGTCTCTATTGTGCCATCTACAATCTTATCTCGTATAAAGTGACAACCCATCTCAATGTGACGAGTTCATTCATGAAAAACAGGATTGGCAGCTATCTGTAACGCTGCTTGATTATCACAAAATAAAATGGAAGGACCATCCAAAGGAATGTTCAAATCCTTCAACAAAAAACGAAGCCAAACTATCTCGCAACAAGCACCTGCCATGGCCCTATATTCCGCCTCTGCTGAAGAGAGCGAAACGGTTTTCTGTCGTTTCGTCCGCCAAGAAATCAAAGAACCGCCCAAGAATATACAATACCCAGTAGTCGAACGGCGAGTGATAGGGCAACCTGCCCAATCAGAATCACAAAACGCAGTTAACTTGGTTTGGTTGTCAGAACGAAATAATAAACCTTGACCTGGAGTAGCCTTCAAATAACGAACAATACGAAGCGCAGCATCCATATGAGATATCCTTGGCTTGTGCATAAAACAGCTTAGAACATGCACAGAATAGGTGATATCCGGCCGAGTGATAGTGAGATATATTAACCGACCTACTAATCGTCGATACTTTTCAGGATCCTTGAGAAGTTCTCCTTTATCAGATAATTTTGTGTCATCCATAGGAAAAGCAATGGGTCGTGCTCCCAAAAAACCATAGTCCTTGAGAATCTCTAATGCATACTTGCGTTGAGAAATATAAATCCCTTGTTTGGAACGAGAAACCTCAATACCCAAAAAATATTTTAAATCACCAAGGTCTTTTATCCGAAAATGATCACGGAGAAAAGACTTCAAAGAATTAATGGCACTAGCATCATTGCCTGTAATCACAATATCATCCACATAAATGAGCAAAGCTGTGAAAGAAATACCAGACTTTTTAGTGAACAATGAATAGTCAGCTTTGGATTGTTGAAAACCGGCAGAAATGATGGCACTAGTGAATTTGGCAAACCATTGGCGAGAAGCCTGCTTAAGACCATAAGGTGACTTGTGAAGGCGACACACAAGATTCTCCCCCTGTCGCCGAAGACCAGGAGGAGGAGACATATAGATTTCTTCATGTAAGTCACCATGTAAGAAAGCATTATTAACATCAAGCTGATGAAGATACCAAGACTGACTAGCAGCAAGAGCAAGAAGACAACGCACCGTAATCATCTTAGCAGTAGGAGAAAAAGTGTCATGATAATCAATACCTTCAGCCTGAGTGAAGCCTTTAGCAACCAAATGAGCTTTGTAGCGGTCAATAGAGCCGTCGGAATTGTGCTTGAGTTTGTACACCCACTTACAACCAATGGGAATTTTGCCAAGGGGCAAGGAAGTTAAAGTCCAAGTACCATTAGCATGTAAAGCTTGAAGCTCCTCAGTCATAGCACGTTGCCAATTGGGGTCAGTGGCAGCCTCGGCAAAGGAGGAAGGCTCCACAGTCCGACTGACAGAGTTAATGTAAGAAAAATGCATGGGAGAGTAACGGTGATAAAAGAGAAAATTACAAAGTGGATATCGCGTACCTTGTGTAGAACCGGGTTGCGAAGTCGAAGATGGGTGGGATGGCAGAATCACCTGCGAGCAAAGGTAGTCTTTTAAATAGGATGGAGATTTATGGGCACGGGAAGAGGTGCGGGGAAGGGGAGGATTGGTAGGTAGTGGGGGGGTAGGGATGTCCGTGGGTAAAGGGGCATGGGGAGGAACGGGTAATGGGGCAGCAAGGGAATCTGTGGGAGGCGTGGAAGGGGAGGAAGGTGGAGGAGGGTGAGGCGTCGGGGCAGGAAGGGGTGTGTTATATGTAAAGTCGAGAGAGGGTGGGATGGGTAAGGTAGGCGAAGAGGATGGGATAGGAGGGTGAGAAACGGCATAAGGGAAAGTAGTTTCGTGAAAGATGACATCTCGACTAGTGAAAATGCGGTGATTGTCGAGATCGTAAAGGGTATAGGCCTTTTGTCCATGAGGATAATCGAGAAAAATGCAACGATGAGCCCGAGGGGAAAATTTGGTGGTGGGAGTGACAGAGGTGGCATATGCCAGACAACCAAAGACGCGGAAGTGGTCATAAGATGGGGTTTTCGAAAAGAGAACCTCAAATGGGGATTTATGATGGAGAAGACGGGTAGGGAGATGATTGATGAGATAAGTAGCGGTAAGAACACATTCCCCCCAAAACTTGATAGGAATATGGGATTGAAAACGAAGGGCGCGAACGGTTTCAAGAAGATGACGATGTTTTCTTTCAACAACGCCATTTTGTTGGGGGTATAAACACAAGAAGTTTGTAAAAGCACCCCATGATCAGAGAAAAAACTACGAAGAGATAAAAATTCACCACCATTGTCAGTACGAATGCATTGGATGGTAGTGTGGAATTGGGTAGTGACATAAGCAAAAAAATCCTTAATTAATTGTTGAGTGTCGGATTTATGTTTCATGAGGAAGACCCACGTAAAGCGAGAAAAATCATCCACAATGGTTAAGAAATAATGAGCACCAGAAAGAGAAGATTGACGATTCGGGCCCCAAATATCACAATGAATTAAAGCAAAAGGGAAAGTTGATGAAATTGAACTCAAAAGAAAAGGTTGACGAGTTTGTTTTGCCAACGGACAAACATCACAAATATGACTAGAATCAAAAGTACAATTAAGAGAGCTAGATGCTAAAGCTTGCAAACGAGTGGAGGAGGGGTGACCAAGACGCCTATGCCAGAGGGAGGAGGGGATGGTAATGATGTTGCAAAGAGGTTGACGGGTGGGGAGAGAAGAGGTAAGGGCCACAAGGTAATACAGATCGCCACGTCGCTTACCCACACCAATCATTGCCTTCGAAACCAAGTCCTGCAAAACACACCAAGAAGGAAAGAAGGTTATGGAACACGATAATCCATCTGTAAGTTTACCAACCGATAAAAGGTCCACTCAGAAATTAGGGACACATAAAACATCCTTCAAAGTAACTGATGAATTTAAAGGAAGAGTGCCGATAAAAGTAATGGGAGCGGAAGCACCATTAGGCAAAGAAACAGGCGGCAAATGTGAAGGAGAACGATTAACCAAACATGAGGCGGAAGAAGAAATATGATCCGTAGCACCACTGTCAAGAATCCATTGACCATGATGAGAGGTGATAGGTAACAAACCTTGGGCAAAATCAGTAGTGAGCACGGCATTGGCCTGAGGAGGGGTGGTGGTGTCACGTAGAGCAGCTCGAACACGGGAGTGCTGCTCGGCAGAGAGGTCAGGCATGGCAAGCTGCAAGTCATGCAAAGTGGGTTGGGCTCCGTGCACTTGGTGGGTCGCTGGAGTAGAAGAGGAGGCGGGGGCCTGGGTGCCTTGCACGTGATGGGCCTGGTGAAATTATGGGGCCGGGAAGCAGAAAACCGTGGCTGCTGGGGAGGACTGGAAGGTGCATGGCTGCGGGAAAAACTGGAAGCAGTGGCACGGCGCGGTGGTCGCCACGGTTGGCCATTGAGGGGATGGCCAACGGGATAGCCATGAAGTTTATGGCAGGTGTCTCGGGTATGATAATCAAAATTGCAGTAGGTGCAGTGGAGGGGAGGACGAGCAGAGGAGGGACGGGACGGGCCACGAACAGCCATGGCAGCAGGTTGATCGACAGAGTGGAGGACGCCCAGGGAGCGTTGTTTTTCAGCTTGAGACACCGAGGAACAGGCCTGATGAACAGTGGGAAGGGGATTCATTAAAAGAATCTGGTCACGAACAGCAGCAAAGGATTCGTTGAGGCCCATTAAAAATTGCATGAGTTGTTGACGGTCATGGTTGGCGTTGCAAGAGCACGTGCAGCCATCATTATAAGAAGCAAGCTCATCCCAGAGAGCTTTCAGGCGAGTAAAATAGGCGGAGATAGAAGAAGAACCATGAGAAATTGTAGCAAGTTCCCGGTTGAGTTGGAAGATGCGTGGAGCATTACTCTGAGAAAAGCGTTCGCGAATATCATCCCATACAGCTTGGACAGAGGTGGAAAAAAGCACAGATTCTTGAAGGTCAGGTTCCAAGGAATCCAGAAGCCAAGAGAGAATCATGTCATTGCAACGACGCCAAGCCGCGTGAGCATCAGGGTCGTCGGAGGAAGAAGGTTCTTGGATATCGCCAGTGATGAAACCAAGTTTATTCTTGGCACTCAAGGAAAGCTGCATGCCACGGGCCTAGGATGTGTAGTTATCACCATTCAACTTCTTGGATACAAGGACAAGATTCGGGTGGTCGGAATGATGAAGGGAAAAAACACCATCGGAAGAAGAAGAGTCAGCCATGGGAACGGCAGAGAAAGCTGCCGAAAAAAAAAAATTAGGGCTAGGGTTATAAACCTGCTCTGATACCATGTAGAAAAAGGTATGTAGGCTAAAAAATATATTTGTTATTGATACGTGAATGTGGAAAAATGGAAGAGAATGCTTTTTTTCTCATTATCTTTCTTTACAAGATTACAAGGATATATATACATGATACAAGCGTGTAGGTAGGACAAGGTAGCCGTCCTAGTGTGTAGGTAGGACAAGGTAGGACGGTTGTAGGACGACTTGACGGTTGTAGGACGGCTAGTGTGTAGGTAGGACAAGGTAGGACGGCTGTAGGACGGCTAGTGTGTAGGTAGGACAAGGTAGGACGGCTGTAAGACGGCTTGACGGCTGTAGGACGGCTAGTGAATAATATTATATACAATTACACAAGGACTCCAACCATATTCCTTATTTGTCTAACACACACTTAAAATTGTTCTTTTAAATTCTAATTTTAACCCTACTTCTATTGAAGCCACCCCACATGTTCAAAACAACAATAACATTTCACCTAACTGACGTCTCGCTCACCCTCCGCCACTTCGTCGATCCATGCTAAGCATTCCATTCCCTCACCTTCCCCTCCCCCTTCCCTCCATGTCATTCTGCGAGGCCTTTAGCAGTTTGTAGAAACTGCAATTTCAGATGTCATACTCAAGAGTGTCTACTTGATGCCTATGGGTAGGAAAACATATGGAAAGTGCTTTTGTAATATAAGGTTGGCATATGTTTGGGTAAATAAAGTTATCAAGATCATCTTTTTGTAACAATTGAATATTTGAATTATTTAGATCAATGGAATTGCGTTAATGGTGGTGCATGTTGTTTGGTTGTTGAGAAGGGAATATGTGATGCATTTGTGGGTAATGCGTTTGTTTTTTTTTTTTTTTTTTTTTTTTTTTTTTGTTAAATCTTTTTCAAATTTAAATAAGGGTAAATGAGGTAGTTCAACAAGAATTCAAAAAAAAATGGGGTGTATTCATAAGATTGTAGGGTGTCAATAAAAAAACTCTAAAAAAAAAAAAAAAAAATCATATTTGCATCTTTTTTTACACCAGAAGACATAAAAAATTATTTAGATTTAGGTTTTTATTTACCTTTTTCGGCCAAGATGTATATTTTAAATATTTTCATTGGAGAATTATCCGGCCAACCAAAAAACAAAGTACACATTTCAAAGTGTTTTACATCTTCCATTGAAGATGCCCTAATGCCACTGACTCATTGAGTTGAAAGAATGTTGCTGTAAATTTCATTATAGTATTAACCTTGAAGAGTATTTTTAATCAGCAGATACAAATTTGAGATAGAAAAACCATATTTAAATTTATGGAACATGAATTATACTTCAATGGAAGAGATGTAAATTTGAGATCACATTTACTTTTATCTCTTTAACAAGCACGACGGCCCAGCTCCTAAAGATATAAAAGAAAATTAAATTTACATTTTTCGGCCAGTGCTAGGTATTTTACATCATGTTCATTACAGAGCTTTCAGGGCAACATGAAATATGTAAAATGTCCATCCCAAGACACTGTTTGCATATCCCATTGAAGGTGTCCTACTGTTGCCAGAGCTTGTGTTATGTAATGAACAGTAGGCTTGTTTGTGTTTGTGTTCCATCCAAGATGGGATACTCAACACCCTTTAGGGAGTTGATTCCTTTTCCATTTATACAATCCAATGACTACAAATGGATGAGTGTGTGTCGGGGGGAAAACGAGCATGAAAATCATGTCCCCGTTTAAATCGGTGGCACAAGCAGGTATAGGAGCGAAAACCCGCCATGACCGGGCATTGCCACACGATGCAGATCTAACAGTTCACATATCTAAGCCTTTATACTGAAAAAGAAAAACTCATCGAATCAGCAGATTAGAAAGACAGAATGTGTTGATAGGTCAGTATAATCATAATCTTTCATTAAACGCTACATAAAGTCGTACATGTTCACAGAGATAGCGGCATTATATTACAACGACCCTTTCTGAATCATGGGATTTCTTAACTATCAACCTTAACAACCCCAAAGGGGAAACAGGAACAGACTGACACAAATGGTAGAGCTAAAAAGGGACAGAAATTTCCCACCCGAAACGAAATACCTACGCTAACTAGTATGCTCTACCAGACTTGCTGTTTTCTACCTTTGTCCTCCCCCCATCTCTGGTCTCCTATTTTAGCATCGTGCAATTAAGGCCTAATCAACCGTACAAATCAACTTCTCGTGCCAGATTGGGGAGGGAAGCAACCTCCAAATCAGAGAGCCAAAAGGAAAATGATATTAATTATGATATTGTAGGAGCAAAATTGAATTACAGTGGCCGTGATACAGTTGAGCCTTGGGAAAATCCATTTGCAATTTTCTGTGGTTTCTTCTTGAAATTGCTGATGCTGCAATGTGGACATATGTACTCCAGTCCATCTGTTTTTGCATAATCCTGCAGAGTCGAAACAAAAATTTAACACATAAAAGCCGAATGAGTTGTTTTCTCAGCCACAAGGTGCTTACAATTTTGGGATAAATACCTTAAAAGCACCAAGGCCCTGCCTTCTGTCGCAGCCAAAGTGAGCCCACTCACCGCATATTCCACAGTTTACCCAATCCCCTGCTGCACTACTGTAGAACAATATCCAATTTCATGAAAGCAGACATTAGCTAATACAATCATTTTATGCCAATGGAGAAGAAAAAAATAAGACGGGATAAATGCGAACCTGTGACACAATAAGCAGCACTCTCCATCTACATCATCATGAGCCAATTCGTATTCTAGAAGGTAAGTTTCGTAGTGTCGTTTAAGTGTATTTCCAACACCCTGTGAAAACAAGAATCACTCACCTGTATCAATTGACCTGTTACAAGCTACTGAGTCTTACACATAATACATCCCTATTCATCCGGTCATAATTATATACTATTTAGGTGTAGAATATAGATTTGGAAGAATCCCCAATTATTCTGAGGTTCAAGTACTATTCTCCCATAAGCATAAACCGTCTCACAATTTCGGTCCCACCCTTTCATTCTCTCTTACCTCTTTGCAGATGTTGCAGCATTAAAATACTTCAAAACTGGAAAACAAAACCAAAGGGAGATTATAGACATACAGTCATTCTATTGGTCATTGTGTAATTGCGCATTTTTGAGAAGATTTGTCCTTTCCAGTTGATGCCATTGCCAACATGAAAGCCTCCTCTTGTAACCACCTGACAAACACCTCAACTTTTCAATAACAAATTTTACAAAACTCCATCGTTAGTTATTTTAGTCACAACGTTGGCCTTAATCCTGGCCAAGGAATTTGATATTTTCACCTCTTTATATAAGTTGTACAGGTCAAGACGCTTTCCATTGAGAATGGCATCTGGAAACTCAGCGAGTCCACCTTGGGGAATGAGCCGATTATGTCCTCGGAGAATTAGAAACTGCATTACATCCTTCAAAAACTCCTCCTGCTCAAGGGTGAAGTAAAAAAGCAAAACAAAGTATGTGAATAAGAAAGTAAAACCCCACAGGTTAAGCATATAGTTAAGTAACATTAAAAAAAAATTCATATTCATTGTACTATTATAATAGTGGAATTCCTCTCATGTTCGCACTTTACTTTTACTCCACAACATCGCCTTTATACCTTTGCTAATTCTTATTTTCCAAGGAAACAACATCTTTTGATACAATTTTGGAAAACGAAAAAAAGAGAAGAAAATTCCCGCTGCCAATTTAAAACTACCTATTTCCCATTTTGACTTCCCTATTTACGAATCTAATTACTTTCTTGACAGCTACTTTATTCTATGACCAACACGTATATTATTTTCTTATCACATGGTTACAACCTACAGGAGAAAAAAATATCTGCAGCACATGGAGAGCATGGTAGTGCATGTATGTGGGTTAACACCTACAATGTGGATATATAATATAGTTGTGCATGTGTGGATAACATATAGACTTGTTCAACACCTACAAATTCATTTAACACTTTAAGCAAAGACATAGTTCACCTCTAAGCAAGAATGTATTGGGCTTCTACCACAACCATGTTTCTTTAATGGCAAAGGATTCAAGGAAATAATCTGCTTAGCCTGAGAAGAGCTTGAGTATGATTTTCGTTGTGTTGTAGGAGTTAATCCAACAATACTGAGCTTTGTGGGTGGAGGAGGAGGAGGCATATGAGCCTTGACTTGACCTCCTTCATGCCCATCTACCTCAGACATTCCAGAAAAGGGTGTCATTTTAGGACGACGAACATGAGGAATGGGCCTCATTGCGGCTATTTTCAATCTTTGCCTGGCTGGAAGTAAAGATGTGCTAACCCCATTCATTGCTCCAGCAACTCTGTTGTCTTCATCAATTTTAGAAGGAGGTAAACGTGGAAGCCCCTGGCTGTCAAGAGAACCCAGGCTTGTCTCTTGGCATGGTTGAGATCTCTTCCTACTAGGAGGAGGTGGTCTCAACCAAGTAGGAAGGCTGCTGAGAATCAAGTCGTTTGATTTACCATCTTTCCCCGGACCGGAACTGAAGAAAAGAAGGCGATCAGCATCATCTTTTTCAAAAGAAGCCACAGGTAATCCCTGAATGCTGGCAATGCCCAGTGCAACTAAACTGTGATAAGAAACATCAGGTGCGAGCTGCCTCAAAACCTGAAATTGTATCCACAACAAATACAACAGTTGCATTGTGTTAGAAAAAATGGTCCGTTTTTCTTCAACATAAAAAAAAGTCAACACTGAAGATTCCAAGCCAACAAGGTAAATTTGCTTTTCCACAAAGAATACTCCTTAGATAACCAGATTGTAGAACTAATAGCTTCCTAAACACTGATGTTGTAGCAATAAAAATAGAATCTCCATTTTCACTGAGGCCCGTTCTTGGGCATGAGAATTAGATACCTCCTTTAACCAGTTAGCCTACCCCCAATTTCTTGAATTCCCTCAACTAAGAGAGAGGAGAATTTGATTACTACTGCAGAATGGGCAATTGAGTGGTGACCAGCAGAATCAAAATTAACAAAAGGGGGCATCAAATTTTGGTGTCCTCGCAGTTCTTCAATATCATGCTAGCAAAGACCAAGATAGAGGAGATATAGATAAAACCTGTGAAGCCCATGCAGGAACCTTCATGTTAACTTCGAATACTGTAGCCCCACATGCAATTGACGCAGACTTTCGTGGTTCAGATAGAGGTGCTTTGGTTTCGTCATCTTTGGGCAATGCACGTACAAGTTGACTCTCTTCGATAATTTCATGCTTTATATGATTCTCTAAGAGCTGAAAGTAAACAGGTAACAAGGTGTAAAGTTGAACAGCTCCCAATAACAGAATTTTTCCACACAAGTCCTTTAGGATTACCTGATCATCAAAGCAAGTTTGAGCACTGCCCGACACAAGAAGTGATATGTGCGCAGAACTACAAGTTGATACATCACATCGCATAGTCACAACACCACGAGAAAAAGTCCCAGCCTGAAGAGGCGGTGGAGGAGCACTAAAAACATTAAAAAGCATTCATTCATTAATTTTATTCACTCTAGGGCATAACTGCTGAACAAGTCCACATGGGGGAAATAAAAATAGAAAAGTACCGGCCAGTTTGAAAATTTAATGTAAAGCAGTTTCAAATACCAAATTGCAATAATATTTAAAACCTTTCTTATAAGGAACAAAACCATTAGAAAATGGCAACTAGTCTTCCAAACAAAGTCAACAGCATCCTTTCTCCACATGAACAGTTAATATTTTAACCAATAAGATGATGCAAACTACTATACTATTAAATAATTGCAAAACCCCAATCAAGCTACAATAAAAAAGCATCCACCACCATATACATCAACTATATAAAGGATCCCACATACCTAAATTTTCCATGAAGCTTGCTCCCACGCATCTGGAGCAACATAAACAATAAAATGAAGAAAAATAAGAACTCCTTGCACCGTGATGATACTAAGGGTAGTATGTTAGTTTTTGTTTAATTTTTTGATAAACATAAATAGAAAATTAGGAAAGTAATGTAAGGTAGTACTAATTATCATTTCTTCATTAAGTTTAATCGGGAATAAGCACTTTCTGGAAGGAAATATTCCCCTAATTAGAGCTATAGGAAAAAGAAACACAAATTGACTAGCCAAATCACACTTACTTCAATGTTTAAGAGGGCATTGAGACCATCCTCCAAAGGTTCTAATAAGCTTGCATCCTGAAAATAATTCATCCCATAAGTCTATGGATGATTTGGTAGTATGTTCATTCCTGCCGGCTTTTGTGTGCATGTTTTCCTAACTGAAGAATAAATATTTAAACACCGGTAAAAAAGAAATATAGGCAAGCTTACCAATGTGGACGGCTCGCCACAAACAAGAAACCTCAAGGTCACATCATCATCATGTATCTTTATAGCAGGGAGAGTACCCAAGGAACCTTCTTCATTTTCTTCCATGTCTACCTCAGGAAGATCAACGTTGATTTTTATACGGTCACCAAGAAGACATGGCCCCAGCTCCGCACTAGATTTATACATGTTAGCAGGAACGAGATGGTTGTTTTCTACACAGTAAAGCCTAAAGGAAGCATATGCAAGTTGGAAAGCATCCCATGTATGAGTTGATGAACTGCAATCAACAAAACTGCAATTGTCAAGCCTGTTTAGTGATTGTACAGAATATAGAAGCAGTAACATGTCTAAACTAACGATGTTCATGCATATTGCACAGACAAACCATATAATCCAAATCAATGATGTTAGGTGTCTCTAGTGACGGTAACCAAACATTAACCAATTTTCTATATGTAACCAACATTACTGTGTGCAAACTGCAAATACATATACATGTGCACACCAAAACCCTTGATGCATGTGCTCAGATAAATGAATAGAAGGAGAAGTACCTCTGTACCACTGAAAGTAAAGCATGTCGAAAGTGGCAAGCAGCAAAGGAAGAAAATTCACTTCTCCAATATATCACATAAGGAATCCCCTGCAGGTGAAACATCCATACTCAACCACAATTTTCAACAAAACCATGCTACGCAAAAATAACGGGATTGTTCGGACGAAAAAAATAAATAAAAACGAACAGGTTTCCAGTTCAGAAACAAAAGTACAACACCCAAACAAGCCATTTCTCATTAATCCCTTGGTAGTGAACTCTGAGAGCGTACTTAATAAGCCTTACTAAAATTACCTTTGAGTGAATGGCTGCTGCCAATGTTGCACCATATGGAACCTCCAAATAAACCTGCATATATGTATTATATAAAGTTGAGCCCCATGTCAAATAAACTTCAAGCATGCACAGAACAAACAGAAAAGAGCATAGAAAAATAAACTATAAAAGAAAGAAACATCAACCATAATTGGGGAAAGAACTGCAAACAGATTTCGACCACAAGAAATCATGCAACGCACACTTTCCTCAAACATCATAAGGCATTTCCCATTTACCCACTCCTTGAGTTTTTCAATGTCTCTTGTCAAATGACTAAACCGGAGTTAAAAAATCACATGCCGCCATAAATATATACAACTAAGAAAGCAATTCACCAACCACGTCCCATGAAATATATTTTCCTTAATTCATCAATGCAAGGATGGAATAGGGGCATAGATCATGTATACAAACGTGGGATTTTGCAAGTTCAAGAAATTTAATACATACAGTTGTAGGCAATGTGGCACCAAAGATCTCAGATATAGCTTCAGGAGTCGACAAGTCGACATCTTCCCAGACAAGAGAACCAATTTCATTATTGCCAAGCTGTTCTCCTTGCAGGTATACAAGATTCGGCTTATATGACTCAAGCATTTTACATAACTCCTCTTTGGTTGGCTTGGTCAGAGTTTGAACCTGCATTTTAAAGAGTCGCATACAGGGCAAAATTAGAAACTATACCAAAACCAGGAATTCACCAAATAAGTTAAGAACAAGAAGATATTGGTAACAAAAGCATGCGCAACACATTTGATATTTAATATTCAGAAGATAATGGTAACGAAAGATTTTCACCTCCAAACGCCCTGAGGAAACCAACTCCGGAAATGGGTATCTGAGTTTATCATCTGCCGTGTCCTTACTACATTTCTCTTCAGATATTTCCGCACAATTGACCACAAGCAGACTACAAGGGTGCTTAGCTCCCTGAGAATGAAACATTATTTCCTGCAGGCTTCCACACGGTTGGCAAAGCAAAGTAGCTCAAGCTCCTCACAGAAGATTTAAAACCCGAAAACTATTGAAATCCCCTACACTATAACACTGAAGCCAGGCCACAACTTGGACCATAGCTTGGATCCCAATCACACCAACCTGATCAAATTTCACCTTGTAGCTAGCATTCAAGGAAGCATAAGCAAATCTACTAAGAGGGATCAAAATCCCTCTCACAGAGCACTCTAAGAACCAAAATTTCCCCAGAAAGCCAGCATAACAAGATCCTGGAACCCAAAACAATACAAAACCCTATCTCAGAAGAAAGAACCTACAATGGCAACTATGAGCAAAATTAACCAACTTTTGCCTACTGATTGAAGCAAACTTGGGGCAAAATACCTCGATTCCAACCCAAAAACTGTTGAAATTAGAAAAATTAGCCGCGACCAAGATGAGAAAACGTGGGGAATCAACGAACCCGATAAAGAACAATGGAAAAATCACAAAATCTCACCGACCCAGATGAGGGAATTGAAGAACTCGAACAACCCAGATGAGGAATTTTGAAGAACCGACGACCCAAGTGAGTCCTTTAACTTCTACAATCACAAAAAAGCACAAAATAGACGAGTAAAGTATGAAAAGAGAACCCTAGGCCCGTAAAATCCAAATCCCCAAAAAGAAATTCGTATTAAAAAACAACCCCAACTTTTGTTAGGATTAATTTATTTATCTGTTTCTATCTATCGTAATCTAATTCACCAAAAATAAAATCAAAATTCTCACAGTCACCAAAATTTTAATAAAAATTTAAAAGTAATTAATATTCGCATTTGTTAAATAAGGTGGGTGCGTCAGAAATATGCATTCAAAACCTCATAAAGGTCAAACCCAAGAGAAAAACTTTGAAACCAATTAAAAGTCCTTTTGACGAACTTGACAAAGTAACAACCTTTGATTGCAACCATTGTGTTTAGTGTAACATTAACCCCAAAGACTGTAACTTTCGACGAAATCGAACAGTAAATTTTCATGTCCCATTGAGATTTCTTGGACTTTTTGTGTTATTACCCGCAAAGATTCGGAATTTGGGGAGGTACAGGTAACAACAAACAACAACGTTTTTTGATGTGGTCGCACATGTTCCAAAGGATAATCAAAGAAAAGCCCAGGATTTCTTTACTATATTTGTTTTTGTTTTGTTGTTTTGAATTGGATTTAATTTAATTCCTGTTGGATTCCTGTTGTGTTGGGTTTTGATTAAGATTTGTTTTCGTAATTCTTAATGTTTCTTTTGATTCATTAACGCTGATTGGGCGGATGAGTGGCTGATGTTATTTGACCGACCGGAGCTTTTGCTTGATCGAGCTCTCATCCAATTCCCAGTCTCCACGAACATCTCGCTCCCACGCGCGCGGGTAAGGGTACACTCTCGCTCCCTGAGCCATCCTGAATTCCAGCTAGCATGCACCCAGAAATTAATCAAAAAACGGAAGAAAATAGACAAATTTTATTTGAACACATGTAATTTCATTTTACATCTAACTTAGAGCATTTTTAAAAAAATTATCAAAATATCCAAATAGTTTTAACAGTCTCAAAAGGTAGCTGACAAAATTTTTCAATCGATTAATCAAATTTAATGTGACATAATATGAAATAGCAACGTAACATTATTGTCAAATTTGATAGCAAGGTTAAATATTTTTAATTCATTATTAAACACTTTTCCATGTCGCCTATCCACCTTCTTTCAAAGCAAACTGAAAAAGACAAAAAAAAAAAAATCATCTGCTTCATCGTTTTTAATTCCTTTCACCTGGAATTCCAAAACCTTCAAACTTCTTCGTCTCTAACCATTTGCAGAGTCCCCCCAAAACCCTTCTCATCGCCCTTTCTCCCTCTTCGTCGTCGTCTTTTCTGTCTGCACCTCCGCTCGATCACTTACAGTGTCGGCCGGTCAAGCTCGTCTCCACTATTAAGATGGGATTTGGGGGCCTCCAAAGAGGTGGGGTGAGGTTTGGAATATCGGGAAGGGTTGGGGTTTGGGTCAACAGGGAAGAAGAAGTGGAAGGGGCTGGGATTTGGGTCAAGATGGGATTTGGGGGCCTTCGAAGAGGTGGGGTGGGATTTCTCTTCGATCTTGATCCACACAACCACAAAAGTTTAATTTCTGCAACACAAGATTGAAACAAGAAGGAATTGTGATTTAGGGTTTCACAATTGTAAAAGTTAATTATGATAAATAGGAAAAAAAATGAATGCCAAATGATTCATTATTTATTTATATTTTTTGCTGAAATTGTAGAAGTTATTTATATTTGTAAAATATAAATATAAAAATAAAATAATGTAATAAAATAATAATTCAATTTGATATATCGATAGAAACTAAAATTTTAAAAGATGTCAAATTACTAGATAGATTATCAAATTTAAATTTTATGTTTAAAATTTGATATTTCGTTTGGAAATGCTCTTAAACTTTGAATGTGAATTGTCATCTTTGCCCTATTATATAATTACCATCAAATACAAAATAAAATTAATAATAAAACTAAAATTTATTTATAAACCCACACTAATAATTGAATCATTACCATCATGCAATCTTTCTCTTACATTCTATTTTAGCTAAAACCTTAAGACACTCACATAGACAAAACCAAGCTATTTTTCACAAATGGACAAAGATTTTGAAATTTTGGAACCTTGAACTAAGGTATGAATCGATTTATATGAATTTTTTGTTTGATTTTAATTATTTTTGTTTAGGGTTTACAAGTGTGGTGCTTGCAAAAAGTTCAATCACATTCATACAGCTCGAATATAAAATCATCACTAGCATCAACTTTTATAACGCCATCTTCTTTACATTGTTTAAATTTTAATAAGGTGACTAGTACTACTTGCAGTCAATGCATCTGCATCACTGCCCGGTTGCCCTGCACTCCTGGGACAATCCTTTCAGAAAGGAATCATCAGGCCACTAGCTAAATTTTCTCAAAGGCACCAGCAACTTTGGGATGCTCAACGGCGTTGGATTTCTAAGGTTTCATTCCATCAATCAAATAAACAATTCACATGAAGTGATTGTTTTATTCATCTTCTTGATCAGGTCCAGTATGTGTACACCCATCCTCATATACTTCACATTGGCTATCAATAGAAAAGTTTGACAAACCATGGACTGGAATGGAGCATAGAATAGCGTAGACGGGCATATGATCGAAACGAAGCGTATTCACTCTCTCCAATTTTATTTTTCTTCATAGTTGTACTGCTAGGGATAACTACTCCATTCATGATCCTCCATGCTGCACTCTCAATCTTCGTATATCGGGTTTTCATTTAATCAATTTTGTTTTGCTTTGAATGGATGTAAAGATAAATTTATATTTTGAATTGGGTTTGTAAGGGTAGTTCATGTAGTAAATTTGGGTTTAAAAGGATTTTGATGGTTTAATTATTTTTAATATGGAATTAAAAAGTAAGTTAGGTGTAGAAAAATGTTATATGAGTTCAAATAAAATTTCTCAAGAAAATATTGGTTTCAAGTTTTGAAAAGAAAGAAAAAGGGAGAAGAAAAGAAGAAGTCAATCTTTTATGCTCCCTGTAATTGTGGATATAATATTGAGAAAAAAAAATTGGATGGATTCCGTACTCACAAGTCATAACTACTTCTACACATGCACCTTAACACGCTGAAGTAAAAAAACCAGTCTTTGTTATATGAGTAGTGTTACCATTACCATATATTTATGGCATCTCTTTAATAGAAATAAAGTTCACCAACATGTGTAAGTATCGTCTCTATTAGAAAGATAGTACAACAAATATGTGGTTAGAGTAACATTAGTTACATGATGGCCCGCCAATATATTAGAGACTTTCCCATGTAATTAGACAACATTAATCTCCAACTTTAAATCACAATATTGCGCTAATTAGATGAAACCACTAATTAAGCCACAAAAGACAGAACAACAACACAGGAAGGGCAAACCCCAGGAAAAGCTTTGGACCAAAATTAACATTAGCTCCAAGATTTAAAATAAAAGAGCAAACAACGTTGGAAAGGCCGGCCGGTAGATAGATCAACACAATCATCTCACCAAACCAACTCAAAATATCCTTAATGCTGTTTTCATTTGTTTTTGAAAGAGTTACGGTGTTCATTGATGCAGAAATTCATACAGGAGGGTAGAGTGCAATGTGGTCGCATTAAAATCTTGGCAGCACTTTTTAGTTTTATTGTTGCAGTGGAGAATTAAACGCAAGAATTCGGGTACGGCAGTATTTATGTTAGGAGTTTCAAAGTGTCAATTGTCAAAGATTGCAAAGCAAAATAAGGAAGATTGATGCAACAAAGAACAAACAACAAAATACTAGCATAACGTGGATCACCAAAAATTGGGCACATCCACGGGCGTTGACTGCAATTCTCTCAAATAATCACTCTACTCTCAGCCGAAATCTCAATAAAGATTCTCAGTGCAAATGTTGAGCTGGAAATTATTGTGCATCGAAGCTCGTATTAGATCATAACAAATCAGTAACAGATAATATTGGAGAGCTGTCTTGACCTAAATATAGGCTCATTTTCAAAACCCACGTTAAACATGAGGACTTAATTTGTTTATAGAGGTCGTGACGTTCTTCAGTTGAAAATCTTTTGAGCAACCACTGGAAGATGTCATGAACGTTGAACGTTGATTGGCTAGTGTACTTTTACCTAATATATTTTTGTTAATCTTCTATAATTATTAATATGCACACTAAAAATATTAATCTTGAGAAGCCAATGAAACGAAGTAAAAGATGAATAATGAATGGCAGCAACAAGCAAAGATCTTCTGCTCTCTCTACACGCTTTGTGCACTCCTATATGGAGTGGGGTTTTGTGCTAGAATTGTGTACGTATGAGATTGGGACCTAAGTCTTATATTTACAAGTGATAGTATTAAGTTTTTTGCCCATAAAAAAAAGCCCGCCATTACATATTTTAGCACCTCGAGAATCCATAACTTGATAAGATAGATATTTCCATTAATTATTGTTTTACTTCGCCGTCAAGGAATCTGGAATAATCAAATATTACAATTATATACCTGATTGAACTAATGCAGAAATCGAAGCTTGGTGAAGTTGAAGTGTTCATCGTTTCAGGCCTAGTCGCGTACCCAACACAGATTTGATCACCTTTGCCTTCATAAAAAATTTCAACATTTTCATTGCAGTCCTGCATTTTTTAGCAACCCTTATTACAGTTATTAATGAATCATATTAGCATTATGAGCGTACGTATCATTGATTGACTTTCGTTCAGCGGTTAATTAAAAGCATATAGTCCAATATTAATAACTTTTGTATTGGTGCTTCAATCTGACCGACACATTCGCCTTTGAGATCACAAAGCTTAACCATATTCTTGTAATTTTCAGAATCAAGAGTAGAAAATTGATGCAACCATAAATTGGATATAGACATATAGTGAAGAAAGAATACAACTAAAGAACATAACCTTTTTTTTTTTTTTTTTTTGTTCAATGGGCGATTACTACATAAAACAAAGTCCAAAAAGACGTCGTATATCGATCCTAGGCAGGTTTTAATAAGGACTAACATACATGACGCCACTTTGACAAGCAGAGTTGATGGATTGCACTACAACATTTACCAACAAATACAGATATTCAAACTTCAAAGAAAACAGAGCATTATCTTCTTCTTCAATTAATATATACATAGGTTCGGTCAGTACTGGACAAAGCTGCACATATACCAAAACGTTGATATCAAAATATCATTTTTCTGGTCAATTGATAAAATAGCAAATCTGATGTAAAATATCTTAGGGTCCCAAACGTATTGTTGTTATTTTTGCTGCTGCCTCCAATAAGAGTTTTCGATTTATCATAACAGACAAGAAAAGAAAGCGATAAGGCAAGAAAGCGAAGTGATATTTATCTCAAAACAGAAAGGGATACAAATCAAAATTAATCTCATGATAATTGTAATAGTAATTCGTCTTTACTTTCCTTTTTTTTCGGTTGCAAAATTATTATCTATCTTTAACTACAAACAATTCAGTTAACGACTCGTTCCATTAATTTTTCTCCTGCTTTGCAGCTTTGCAGTGTTAATTAACAAGAACAAGAAAGATCAAAATTAAAAAAAAAAAATTAAACTATATATAGGGCTAAAGTGCAAATATCTTTCTGTGATGTGTGGTTTTCTCTTGTTGTAGATGTACATCTTCGAAGACATTAGTGTTGTGAGAGGCCGCGCCACGTCTACTAGTGTTAGTATTACTACTCTTAGGGGTGTTGCAACGATAAAGGTCACGCCTATAAGATTTTAGCATTTGCTTGGTAGAAGCCTCTAATTCTCTCCTGTCATCAATAACAATCTGCCTGTTCCTGCACTCTATACTGCAAAAACCTAGATCACCTCTGCATTCAAATATTAGAGTCGCAAACTGTATCAGTAATTGATATCATAACCTTTATTAATATAGTAATATTATCTTATGCTGGTAACAATATTATATGACAAGCAACTAAGGGTGTGCGTAACATAATTTAAATATTAGAGTTTTTTTTTATTTAAAGAATAATAATTTACGAAAAATAATTTCTACACCCCATTCTTCTCCCTATTTATTTTTTATTTTTGGATCGAATTAAGGGAGAGAAACAAATAAGTAGAGTGCAGAAGGAGAAAAATGATAAGTAGAAGTCTTGTCTTACAATTTGATTGTTATTATGTCAGTTACCTGTACATGTAGACCTCTTCATCAAGGCTTAATCCCTTGTTGCATAAATGACATGTTTTAAGAAAGCAAGAGAATTTCTCAAGGGAGCTGCAGGTTGTGGATTGGCTCAGTCTTAAAGCAGATTTCTCAATGATATTTGACTTATTTCTTTGTGAGATCTGTACAAGGATTCCCAACCCAACAGCCACTGAGCTGCTATGGCTAGTTTTATCACCGATGCCCAGCTTATGGGCAGCTGGCTCAATCAAGTTGCAGGGTCTCTTTAACTTGGAAACCATTGTTTGTGGGGGGAATTAGAGAAGAGAAAAAGAAGAGAAGAAGAAGGAAAACTGAAGAGGGCTGTGAAGTTTGTAAGGTTGAGATATTAGATATTTATAAATGCACCATACAACTGATACAAGACTTCTGTCCACACAGAAGATATATATATATGCATATATAACCAAAAATATATACAGACACATGTAGCTGTTTTGCTTTTGTTAATGGGATTATGCTGCTATCTCATGAGCCACGTGCTGCACTTTTGCTTGCTCTATGATCTTATCTTTTACCTCGTCTGCATTGCCCTGTAGGGTTTAAAACAATAGTTAAAGTTAAGAAATCGGGTCTTTGAGTTTTGGAGTTGAAATATTGCATTTCACATCTTTTGGTTTGTTTGTTTGTTTGTTTGACCCTATAAGAAAACGAGGGAACTTTTTGTTTGGTGTTGTTGAAAACTTTGAGTAGAATCCTTCTACATTGTTTCATATTGGTCACCACTAAAAAGTTCTTTCACTTTATAAGGTTTTGTCCTTATTAGAAAGTGATTGAAGTGATGAACCTTGGAGAATAAAATTGAACTCAACCTTGGAATTGGGTTTTGAGGTGTACTAATTAATTGATAAAGATGGGCTTTGAGGCTCAGACTCTAATAATTAAATTCTTGAATCAATTATTTTTAATTATTTTTAATTAATTTCGAATTTAATTAATTATTTTTTATATCAATAGACTCATCTTTTCAAATGAAGTCTGAGGTGATGAAAGTACGCCAAAGAGCAAAGCACCCCTCTGAGAAGACGTCTCCCAACAGACACATCTCATTCTCATACATATTGCGAACATGCATAAACCTATTATATGTACATCTATCTGCATGGCATTTAGAACACCGAAAAATAAAATTCTTCTTCTAAAATCCCAAACATTCTTACTGAGAGAACCACAAAAAATTCGCCAAAAGTCAAGTTTTTGGGGGTTGGAATTTTGACTTAGATCATTGAATCCTGGTGAAGCAGACATTTGTAGAACTAAAAACACTAAGTAGGGACGAAATTTCTGTTTTAAGGATATTGCGGTACGTAAGCCTCGATCTTCAAGTTTGTTTGTTTAATATTATTTTGTTTTGTTCATACTCTGTTAAATTATTTATTCGTATTTATTATTTATTAGCATATATAAATTTATCACAGATTGTTGATATATCTCCAATAGGTGCAACATGAGAAAAACGTGATAATTGTGAAATAAAACGTATGGATGAGTACCCTTTTTAATAAATTGTTTTCCCTTTCCTTGTCCCCTTTATTATGAAGTAGACAATTCCACTCAAGAAATTTAAAAATAAAATAATAAAGATAAATGACAAAAAACTACCTCAACTATTAATCTGACTACACTTTCATACCTCATCTTTTAAAAATGACAATGTCATACCTCATCTTACGAATTTGTGCCAATGTCAGACCTCTGTTAGTTTTTCTGTTACTTTTTCTATTAAATATTGATGTGTCCAAAGACAGTACCCACTCACTAATCCAACTGGATTAAAAAATAATTAAATATATTTTTAATAATTAAATATTCAAAAATTAAAAAGATTAAAAATTAAAAAACTAAACAAATAAAAAGGCCTAGGGATGCGAGCCTTGATTTCTTCCACCCTCACTAACCCTTCTCTCTCTATTCTCTTTATCTTCTCCTGCATCCCTCTCCCACTCTAACTCCCTCTTCTCTCTGCAACCACCGGCACCGAGGAAGAGAGCAACGGAGAGAGGGAGGAGAAGAAAGGTCTAAAGGCGAAGAAAGTTGAGGTGGGAAGGAGAGGAGGGTTTTGACGGCCGAGAGGAGGAGGAAATTGAGAGGTCGAGAGGAAGAGAGAGGTCGTAGGAGGTGTGGGGGTCGACGATGAATCAGACAGAGGAGAAAGGTCAGAGGAAGGACTGGGTGGATAGAAGGTAGAAGGGTGATGGGTGTGGGTTTGTTTGTTTGTTTGTTTTTTTTTTTTTTTTTTTTTTTTTTTTGGGCGTGGGATCTGGGTGTGGGCTTGGTTTTTTCGGTTTCTTCAGTGGGGTGGTGAAGATGGAGGAAGAGAGGCGGCGGTGGGGTGGTGAAGGAAGGTTAGGTATGGATGGACTAGGGGAGGGATGGGTCGGGTTGAGAGGTGGTGGTGAGGGAATGACGAGTGTGAGTGGGGAGAGGGACGGAGGAGGGAGACCGCATCCCAAAGAGAGGAGAGAGAGAAGAGAGAGGGTGGTGGAGGAAGGTTGGGGAGACGGGGAAGGGTTTGGTGGCTGTCAAAGAGAAGAAGAAAAAGGGTTGGTGCAGGTGGAAGGGAAGGCAAGATCCCTTAGGCCATTTTTTATTTTTTTTAGGTTTTTATTTTTTATTTATTTTTTTGAATATTTAATTATTAAAAATATATTTAATTATTTTTTAATCCAGTTGGATTAGTGAGTGGGTCCCTTCTTTGGCCACGTCAACATTTAACAAAAAAAATGACGGAGGTCTGACATTGGCACATATTCGTAAGATGAGATATGACATTGTCATTTTTAAAAGATGAGGTATGAAAGTGTCGTCAGACCAATAGTTGAGGTAGTTTTTTGTAATTTATCCAAATAATAATTATAGTTTGTTTGGAAGAGTCATGTTAAAAAGACTATTTTTTTTACTATATTTAGTAAATTATATATGTGTCGGTGATGATCGGATTTCTTCTTTAAATAATTATCAAATGCCACATTATATAGTTTACAAAATATAATGTAAAAAGTTATTCTCACTATCCGAATTATCAAAAGTTCTCATTTCATTATATAATAGTCATTTAGTGGTTAGTACTACGATTTAGTGACAGTTCTCTTTACTTGTAAATAAAAGGTCTTAAATTCGAATCTTATGAATTTCGAATTTGGAACCAATTTATTCTTCAGTCCTTATTGGTGTAAATATATCGATAAAAAATATATTATAATATTGGTATATAAGAAGAAACACAAATTGTTAATAGAGAGAAAAATAAAAAGTATCAACAATAAGGAAAGGAAAGCCTATTTATTTTTTTGCTATCTAGGAGTTTATATAAATAACTAGGATTGGCAGATCGATATCGAATTTAAATATGAAACATTTTTAAATTAATGGTTCATGCTGCAGTTAAGAGTTTATTTGCACTGCTTCTGTTTCTTTGTGGTTGTGACTATGTTGGCAGAATGGCAGGTATATTTGCTCCCTTCCTTCCTTCTATATGTTGGCCTTTGGCCCTTTGGGACTCGACAGATGTGCAGTGAAAATGGCAAGTCCCGGATACACTCATGTAGTGAGGTTTTATCCAAAAAAAAAAAAAAAAAAATCGATATATTTTGAGTGTGTTGCGATCACTTCTTTGGGAATGCTCCTAATATACCTAATTAACTTTTAATTGGTTACTTTGTGTGCTTTAACGGTATCCAAAAGGACCGCCTAGCACCACCGCCAATTACGTTTGTGGAACACGGCAACTACGAGTGCGAAAGAAGGCAAGAAAATGAAAAAACCGCCTAGCACCACTATCTAGGCACCGTTTAGGCCGCCTAGGAGCGTTCAGGAGGGCACCTAATATCTTCTCGCTTTTCTTCACCTATTGGTACCTAATTAAAGTGGGACTTCACCTACCAGCGTCTAGGCAGCCACCTAAACCGATTGTTAGAACACTGATATTACTTGAAACATAATATATAAAAAAAACATCCGCTAGTTACGCACATTTTCTTATGATGAGAGTAACCTTATATATTGCTCATCTGAGGTCCTATAAATGAGGCTTGTGAGGATTTCTTCTATAGGACCCTCGGATTAATTTAATAGCAGATCGACATGTGAGATTAAACCATGTCACTTGAAATGAAAGAGAGATATTGTGATCATATTATAGTCGCCTTTATTTTTTAAACCCCTTCGTTTCACTAAAGAATCTTTTATACATTAAAGTAGTGCAGGCGCAAATGAGATTTATTCTTGACTTGATCATCTTGATGAGTTAATCCACCTTAAGTTCGATCCAGACAAAATCACAAGAATCAATAGCTAACCTTGGAGAATCGAATTTAAACCTTTTGATTCTATACCAACCCAGCTCAAATCAATCAACTCAAGCATATTGTCAATTTATTTATTGGGTATGATCAGTCAATTGCCTTTTTTTAGTCCTGGAACTATCTTTCATTACAGGTAGCTCTGCGTTTTGATTTTGTTGTACCATGATCAATTAGCTGTCAAGCAATTATTTATTTAAAACAACAGATGGGTGGATCGATATATCTTTATCTGATACAAAATGTTATTAAGGCAGAAAATAGTAAATGTTCTTGTAAATACAAAATTTTATGCAACGAATAAATTAACACGTGTATTAAATAAAATTTTGCATTAATGAGTGTTTAGGGTTATAATTTATGTGGTTTATTCTTTTACAATTGAAGTGGGTTTGTAAATATTTCAAGATGGTCGTGTCAAAATTCCAAATTTTTATTCCGTGTCATTTGACTGTGGTGAAGAAATAAGTGATAACAGTGCTGCTTTTCCAAGTTAACGTTTCTAGACGTTTTGGCCATTTTGACGATTAAGATGGCGTTTTTAGAGGAATATTTCTTCTGAGGATTTGAAGAGGATGTGTCAATTTTTTTAAAAAAAATTATTTTGGGACCAAATTGGATCTGATTTAGTGGGTCAAAAGTGTGATTTTCTCTGCCGTCCAAATTTTACCTTGAATAGAAAAAATTTCTTTATTATTATAATTCAATTTCCACATTTATTAGAAGACCATGTTTAGGTAGGTTAAGGAATAAAACAATATAAACATAGTGTAACCATGTATTTGGGTTATCTACGCACTACTTTGGAGAACTCAACATAGCTTTGGATTTTGTACTTACAATTACAAGGTGTTTTCTATCATTCTTCTAATAATATTTTGCTTTTTGATTATAAATATGTGGAACTAATTCCTTTTGCTAGGCAAGGAGATGAGTCATAGCATGAATATGTAGTTTTTATCGATTTATGTTATGCGTGCTTGCTTTGAATAATTAATCACCGCGTTTAAACTATCTATATGTGTTAATGCTTGATCACAGTAATTGGATGAAATTTAGTT